GTAACTCACACTTCCTGTGAATCCACACAGGCGTTATTAATTAATAATAATTAATAAATAATTTATAGGGAATTTTCTAGAACCGCCCCAACCGGTTTTCGACCGGTTGAAATTGTTGGCGACCGGTTGAAAAGTTACAAATCAGTTCCAACCGCCCGTACTTTTCTGTGGGTGAATGGAGCTGTGAATGGTCAAACGCACTCCAGCACCAAGAAATCTGTTAAATTGCTGTCGAGTGCCATATTTGGGTTGTATTTTGAAAAAAATTCCGGGGGGAACCCCGGACCCCCAACTCTTCATTGGACCGTAACCGGTTGGAAATTCGTCCTAGAATACCCTGTTGCCGTATCTTGAAGCTTGGGCTGGTGCTGGCCACTGTCCTGCTGGACATCACTAGACGCAGAGCTTTGGCTGTCATTAGACGCAGGGCATTGGCTGTCACTGGACGCAGGGCATTGGCTGTCACTAGATGCAGTATGCAGGTTCTGCTGTTCTGTCTGCAAATGCTGGTGCTCTTCAGGTGTAGATTCCTGATGCTGATTTTCCTGTGTCTTCTGGTGCTCCTCCTGCTGTTTCTTCTGCTGCTGCTGCTGTTCTGCTGTGTTTCTCTGTTCAAGACTTAGTGTAGATTCCTGGTGCTGATTTTCCTGTGTCTTCAGCTGTTGCTCCTGTTGTTGCTTGTCTGCTGCGTTTCTCTGGTCATCACGAAAGACCCATGGGCGTGCATAAACAGGCCTGGGCAACACGTTTGGCTGTGTGAGGGCTTCAACTGAGGCTCAGCTGATCGTCACACGAGCACCGACCTTGCCATTAGCCTTGCTGATCAGTTTGCTACTAAATATCGTGAGCTGCTGATTGGCTGTCAGGGCGCGTTGTTGGATAAAGGATTCCAGTTGCTCAATGCTAATAGCTCGGCGCAGGTTTCCAATCCAAATGACCCCACGCCTGACACTAAGGCTGTGTTTACATGAGGCGTTTCAACCCGGGTTGAGTTCGACCCGGGTCAAATTTCAACCCGCCATGTGCACAAAATGAATGGCGCGTTTACATGACGCATTGCGCTTGACCCGGGTTGAAATTTCGCCCCGGGTTGATTTCAACCTTGGGGGGGGGGGGGAGGGTTGAAATCAACCCGGGTCAAGAAACTCGTACAAACGTACTTCTGTGCGTATCTCGCGCCAGGTTTGAACAGCACTCCACATGCAAATTTCGCGTGAACGGATTCACGTGACCATACAGGATTCTAGAAGTGGACTTTTGGCGGCATATCAGTATTTGACCCGGGTCAACTGTCTTCATGTAAACGCTCACCTCTTTTGTCTATCGTACAGACTTTCAACCCGGGCTGAAATCGACCCGGGTTTAAATTTCTCATGTAAACACAGCCTTAGACGAGGGAGACAGAAGAGACTAGTTGCCATGAGTCATCATCCACAGGTAGTGGTGGAACGTGCTGCGAACCCACAGTGTTTGTCTGTGTGTCTGCGACCTTTGGACTGTGGTTTGTACTACATACCGGGTTTGCTTTATCCTTGGGGGGCTCACATTAACTCTCAATGTTGTCACACCTTGATTCCGTACTGGGCATGACATCAGTACTACCGAGTTTGTACGCATCTGACTGTACCCGTCCAGCTGCAGCTTGTTTTGTTTTTTTCACACGGAAAACTGAGCCTCTTGTACGGGAAAAATAACACATTTTGTGAAGAATCAACACATATATAAAAACGAATCATCAGATACAGTATTTACAGAGTCTGTCACTCAGTAGGATCACTGCACTGTGCAGGTTCACTGGATGCGTGCCTCCGCCGCCACTAGCACAGCAGGGGACTCAGGCATGGCAGGAGCAAACATGCTCCTTGAGCCACGCAGGCACATAGCACCACAACGCACCAGGGCAAACCCAAGGCGGCAGCGCAGCAAGGAGATAACCTGCCCGTATGGCTCCTTACTCTTCTCAGCCAGGAGAGAGGCGATCCGCGTGAAAACAGCATTGGCATGCTTGCCATAGCCACCAGAGGCAGAGAGCACAACGGGCACGAAGGAGGCATGCTCAACTTCACGTACTCGCTCCTCGTACTTCCGGCGCTTTTCCTGTTCATGGCGTCTGTAGCTAGCAGCGAGGGAGGTGGCACGATTCGAAGACGCAAAAGGGTTGAACACCCGTACATCAATAAAGATGCGCTCGAATCGGCCACCCCACACACCACTAGCCGCAACGTCCAGCCGAGCTTGCTCCTCCGTGACAGCTGTGCGATGGCGGAAGGCCTCTCCGGTGACGGGCTGGAGGTGGGGTTCCACTGTCACGTTGTGAGCGACCTGCCTCAGAGCTCTGGCGGTGATGTCCCTCACCTCGTTGTGTCGCAGCGTCGGGAAGCCACCAAACGGGCACGACAGGGCGTGACTCACATTCAGCGGCTTACTGCACACGCAGAGGCTTGGGAGCCGAGGAGGTGTCCAGCCGTACCGGAGGCACAGGCCATCCCGGAAATCTCCCTTGCTGAGTGTGAAACTATGGCGGCTGAGGGGGCGGCAGGTCAGCCAGCTGGATGCACCCTTTTCTGAGGCCAGGTCGAGAACAGGGGCCAGCTCCCGGTGATCCGAGCGAAGAGCGTCAGCCGTAGACTTGAACGCGCTCCGCTTCTCGGCCCGAACCGTCGCCTTGACCGTCCGGAGCTGAGTCAGAGAGTCGCCAAGAGACGACTCCTGCTCCAGCAGGCGAGACACGAGGCTAGCCGTGATCCTTCGGGATGAGGTGTACTGTTCAGCCACTGAACAAGGGTCTGCCATACCCAGTCCCCCAAGCCGGCAAGGCAGAGAGAGTAGGGAGCGAACAGTTGTCCCAGGTGGAGCCTGACCCGTGATGGCCGGGATGAGCCGACCGCTGATTGCGTGTTCCAGCGGTTCAAGCAAGGATGGCGGGATGGAGGAGGTCCGGCTGAGGAAGGACCACTTGTTTTGCAGGCCCTGTGTGAAGGCGGAGTAGGCGGCCTGTGGCTGCGATGCAGCGATGGTCGTGAGCTGCGCAACTTCCTCACCCCAGGTGGTGACCTTGGACTGGACACATTGTTCTATAAACTCATCCGTGCCCAAAGATGCACCAAGGTGGCGGCAACCATCACACGTGACCTGCACACCGGTCCCCTCGAACATCTCGATAGCAGCTGCGTACCTGGAGGGCTTGACCAGGAGGAGTGACTTCTGGGCATTGCAGTGGTAGCCATACCCAGGACCTTGGCTGACGAGATTGTCCCACCATTGGCGAACAGGCGTTAGCTTGCCACCGGCTGCAGCATCGTCCGCATACCAGCCCTGTTTCGCACCAGGCACTGCAACTTTCTTGATGAGCGGGAGGACTCCAAGCGCATATACGGGCATGGCCAGAGGGTCACCCTGAGTGGTACCCTCGCACGATAGCAAGCACTCTCCATCAACGAATAGGCGGGATGGTTGGCGGTAGGTGTTGATTACAGCTGGCGCTATAGAGGGACAGAGGTGACGGATGTTCCGTAGGCAGGCTTCACGGTTAAGCCGGTTGAAGGCGTTCGAAGCGTCGGCGAGCAATATGGCATCCGCATCCTCCTCACGGTAGACATCTTGCATCGCATGGATGGCAGCTGGAATGCCGCACTCAGGACCGGCACACAGTTGAAGGGTGCCCGCTGCATCTTGGATATCTCTCCCGGTGACAGTGAGGATGGCTTTGCCGACAATGCGCCTGGCCACTTTGCCGATACCAATGGGTCGAACACCCGGCGATTTGTCAAGGGCTGTTAATCTGCATGCGACGAGCGCCTCCAGTGTCGCTGGGTTGACGTATGTGGTAGCAATGCGACGAGCGCATGTTGCAAGCGAGTCACACAGCTCATCCGACGCTTCGGAGAATGCGGTGCACATGCGCCGCCATCCATCAGCGTCCATGCCCGATGGCCCAGCCGCGCCGTGGGTGTGCAGGGCGGCCCGGCGGATGACGTCACGGGTCAGGCTTGAGAACATCACTCTGTGGGGCTGAACAGGTGGCTCACCCGTGAGCAGAGACTCTGCATCAGCCGGCTCCCCTGCCGGATGTTTGCTGATAAGAAGGTCACGGGTGGTATCAGTGCCGACAGTGGTGTCCAGGCTGAGAACTCCTTTGCAGCCACCACTTGATAGCTGACGGAGGGCGGATGGTAGTTTGCCGGAGGACACATTAGCGGCGAACGCCCTTGCCAGGTCAGGGGGGGGGTCGATCGGGCGGCTGGCTGGTGCCTGTCCTGGACCTGCTTCTGGATGGTGGTTGACTCGCGGAGCAGTTCCGGCAGGCTTGCTGTTCGCCAAAGTTCTAGACGTCTCCTTAGGTGTTCCTGTGGAGACGGCTTGGTATGGTTGCCCTGCGGGTTCTGTAACATCAGCTGTGGGAAGACCATCGCCGCCTTGAGTGCGACATCTTCTGAGGCCGAGGCTGCAGCTTGTTTGGCGCTACGTTTGCTGGCACGAGTACTACTACTGTGTGTACGCTGTACGTCAGCTTTAACAGCAGGTGCAGGCGAGCTGTTGTTCGTCGTCTTTGCCTTCATCAAGGCAATGGCGGAGTTTTTTAGAGAAACTAATTCCTGTTTCAAGTCCTTCACTTCCGCTGCAAGCTCGCCAATTTTGCGTTTCATACACGCTTTTCGGTCAGCTCGGTCGACTCGGTCGCTAGGGTTGCCAGCGTTTGCACCACTGCGAAACGATGACAGCGCTCCCAGCACACACAATGATTCTGTTATCATTAATTTTGTTGGCAAGCAGCAGGGTGAAAGCCCGGAGCCTGTAAACCCATGACATGTAGAACAGATGCTCTTTACTCCAACATGACAGGTAAGATGATCGACTGCAGATCTGATGAGCCCAGCTGTCCAAGCATCCAGTTGCAGAATACACAAGAGAGGACTGGAAAGTGTAGTGTCAGTTTGTGTGCAAGATCGTGCCAGGTTCTGAACACGTTTGACTCTTCTAGATGCGATCACTGCACCCGTACTGAGTTTGTGTCAACTAACAGATTGACCGAATCTCTTCTGCTTGAACCTAGAACCTAACGTTGCGTTAGTTCCATTATGCAGATGACTGGGGAAAGCGAGCGTCGACGATCATATTCATGATTTTTACTGCTAGCAATTGTACAAAGGTCGTTATTTCTTAGAGCATTAGTAGGGATACTGTCGTCATTGTAAATAATAATTATTTCTGAAGTCGGAGCGCCTCACATGTACCGATTTGTGGAGCTGATTCGCGACATTTAGAAATAATCCGAACAATTCGGTGAGCGACTCAGCCCTGATCGAAGGCACAATGAGACTCTCGTCCACTACGCCGTTTTCTATGTGGATAGCATTGTGGCTGGCGGCCTCCGTCAGTAGTGTGTCTGCAAGGAGTGTTTCTGCAGGTAACCACTCCAGCGCTGCAAATGAAACAGGTAGGGGCATTGCCAGTGTGATTCCTCTAATAGGCTCTATACTACTGCACCGACTTGAACATTACAAGTCATCTGGTCAGAAAGCTGACACTCTTCAGTATCCCAGTTCTACTACGCTCTTTCTGTACCTTCGATACGACTGTCGCCTTCAATGAGAATGAATGAAATGAACTATCACGTTTGCAGCTGAATGCAAATACTCCATTCATTTGCTTTGCGAGGATTCAACAAGAACAGCATACAGATTTATCTCACTACTGTTCACAGTTGTCTGGTGATGGCCTAGTGCGTGAAGGTAACAGAATGAAATATTCATTCTCTTCCACGTACAAATGTACTTGTTGCTTTGCAGTGATTCAATTTTTCTTTATTTTGTTTGCCCGTAAGGTGATACTGAGTCGTGTATGGCACGCGTTCTTCATCTATTACCATCTACCGCTCTTCGTCTCAGCATCCAGGATACAGAGACTGTGCTAAGTGGTCTACATAACCCCATTGATCAGCTCAACTCTGCAAATGCTGACACAGCATCACTATCTGCGTTCTTAGGTGGACAGCAGAATGCTGATTTGCTGGTACAGTGTCTCAGTATGTCTAGTATTGATCATCTCATTCCATTCTGCTTTCTATCCAGGGAATCGAGAGGATTATAATTATACAACCATACGATGTCATGTTTTTACGAAGTTTTCAACTCGATGTTCGTGTGTATGGAGTCCTATCACGGCAGCAGTTACGCCAATTTCATTCACCAACAGATCACCTCATGCACGAAACTCAGAAGAACATTCGAAACCCGCAGCAGTCTGTTGTTTCTTCTATGTACGTTACGTTTTAGCAGAGCGAAAATAGCACTATTTGCAGTAAGGACCAGACACACTCTGTGCAGTTATTGGATGTGCACGTCACCAGTTCAATATCCTTTGACGCCTCTTGCATTGCCTTCTTTTGGATCATTCAGCAGAAACAAAGCTCTTGTGTTCTGCTGTCGTATTAGAATTCTCTTCCTAACTTGTTCTGGCCACATTTTATCACGTGATTCTTGGTTTGTGCAGGTGGTCAGCTTGATCAATGTCGACAAAGTCCCCAGTGTGGCGATGCGGGAAAGTGCATCTTCACACGTTCTTTACAAGGAAAAGGCTCATACGTTTGCAAATGTGATGATGGTCATACCGGAAAGTTTTGTCAAACAGGTAATTAAATGAGGCAGAACAAAAAAGAAAAGAAAAAAAAGTAAATTTTCTTGTCCGTTCCCGAAGGGAACTCACGACGGCCGCTAACACCCGGTAAACCCTAGCGGCAGATGCAGCGCCGAACGGTGGGGGTGAGTGGATAAGTCTCACAACCACTGGCACAAGTGCCGAGAACGACTCCATTAGCTGCATCCATGGCAGGACAACAGAGGCCAAAAATCTTACTCGTAACTCCGTGTTTCGTGTTGATAAACACTCATCAGACGATAAAACATAATAAGAGGTATATTGCTATAACCAAGATGGGAGATACATGTAGAACAGACGCAGGAATTAGGTAGGTTTCAGTGGGAGTTGTGTAATGCCAAAGGCTTGGGTAGAATGTGTGACATAGTAGATACTAGTGTGGATAATGGCGCAATGTTTGGTTTGGTGTGAGTGTGAAATAGTGAGGGTGTACATGTGGGTGCATGAGAGAGGGAGAGACAGAGAATGTGTGTGTGTACATGCATGTGTGTGTGTGTGTGTGTGTGTGTTTGTGTGTGTGTCAAAACACTGCATATCTCATCATGTGAACCCAGCGTGGTTTCCGCGCGAGAATTTGTTGGAATGTCTACACTTCGAGATGAGCTCACTTCTCTTCTTGACACATGCTGCTCTACCCGCGGTTATCATCCGGAACTTTACCGAGAGGCAGAGTTGGTACCTCTTGCTGATGTTGCTGTAAGCTCATGCTCGTTCCAAAACACTCCACTGGATCGATTAGTCTTCCTGTCTCTCCTTCAATTTCCAGACTTACTTGGATGGCTCGGTGCTCTTCCTTCTCTGCTTGTGGTTGAATGTGTACTTGTGGTTTCCGTACCGGGTCTTGAACGTTAGCTCTGTTGCTCCGAAGTACACACGTTCTGGGTTAACATTACTGCTTTTCACTTCGGCTGTGTACTGTGTACACCAGCAGCTGTGTCTGGCACTTTCCTCTCAAAGGACAGTCAGGCTTAGCTCGGCAGTTGCATGGCACGTCTTCCTGTTGTGGGCTGAGTAGCTTGTTGTTGTGTCCACGCATGATGCAACTGTAAGCAACTGTAGCTCACCTTCACCGATTTCTTGTTGAGGATCTTGTGAAGATCTTGTGACAGGTAGTTATTATTAAACTACTTCTGTTGGGGCACAAAACCAATCATGATTTTTCCCCGCGGTAATCAGAGACCATTGTTGGGATGGAAGCATGTGTATAATTGTGGTATATTTTCGTTCACTCTGTTTTAAGATAAGCAAACACATTGCATTTCCTACTTTTACTTGTACGGTTGCACGCGATAGATGGGAGATCAAGTGTTATTTTATTTATGTGTTGTGATATGCGAAACTATCACTTCAAAATGCTGCTTCCTTCATCACTTTCTGAATGAATTCTTTCATCCTGTTCTTCTTTTGTTTGCCATCCCTACCTCACAGTACCGCCATCCTGCTCTGGTAATCCATGTCAGAACGGTGCAACATGTCGACAGAGAGGATCATCGTTTCATTGTCACTGTCCACCACTGTATATTGGAACACGTTGTGAAGAAAGTAAGTGTGTAAAAGAGAGCACGTTGATGCTGATCTGATCAAGTGGAAGGTTGTTTGTAGTGTGGTCAAGAAATCATTAGGAAGGGATGATGTTCACAATACCGATCACTTATCCTTATCTTGGCTCGCATCATAATCAAACACAATGACGTTTTATCTTCCAAAGACATTCCACCATGTATCCTTGGTGCACAAAGAAGCATCAGTAAATGCTACTTACGTCTTACGTCGTTGGCAGATGGATCATTACAACGAACAAATTCAAACGGTTTACAAAATCAGTGTCGGCTGATGCTTCCAACTCTCTGATAATCTAATAGGGCGTTTCGGGGGGGGGGGGAGGGGACGTTGGAAATGAATTGTGACCTAACCAATAAGACACATCTCCTTCATATCTTCTTACCATCCACCTTCCAGTGTGCTGTGAGTTGCCTGGGTGATACACGTGAGAAGCTGTGTATGGCAATGATGTCCAAGCTAATCATTTTACCTCTTGCCGCTTCACACCTTCCTGTCAGTTTTGTTCCACTTGCAAACAACCGATTTCCAAGCAGCTTGTCTTTCAAATATACAATTTTTCAGTTCTAGACTATGTATTTGTAGTAGAAACTGTCTTGCACGAGAAACCAATTACCGCGCTGTACACACATGTATCATTACATATGTAAGGAAGGTATTACCTAGTAAAAAGATGACTTCTGGAGAGTACTAGAAATGCTTTCGGTCACCGTTGAATGATCGTTGCTAATAATTGTAAAACGTAGAATGAATCTTTAATGATTTTGGAAGCAGTAATCGCTTGGCTTAGTCACCAAAATACACTGATAAAAAAAGGTAATGAAAGCGATTTGGAAAACTATTAGCAATTCCATCATGCGTGGCGATGATTGAGGATAAACAGTGCTCCTGAAGATGCAAATGTAAACCCGATAGAGTCTAATACAAACCGTGAATTTTGTGTTGTTTGCTCTCCAGAGTGGTTGGATGTAGCTAAGTTTAAACAGCAATCCAACACATTAAATCAAATCAGTGACGATGTTTCACAACTGAAACATGAACTACGTGCAGGAAGACGAAATGATATCAATCGTATTGATTCATATCTTCAACAACTGGGTACGAAGATTCTTACCAATGTAAGCTCCACTATGAATCAGATGTCATCTCAGCTTGCCGCCTTGGTGAGTTCATGATATGGCGGATTGCGTCAATTGTACTAGTAGAACATGTGTTTACCCAGCTATAAGTAACTTTGCAATGACTGAATCAGAGTTGGTGTAAGTTAGGCTCACTACTCCTACAAGTTAGTGAAGGCTTAATGAGTGCATGTAATCTGCCAGTATACAATCCAAACAATGACATACAGACGTGTTTGCCTGTAATATTGATGAATATTCATCAGCATTCGTCCGAAGCCTGGAGATTGGCACCCATCGTGCAAGCATTCAGCCACAAAAGGTGGAACGTGCATCATTGTTATGATAATAATTCTTAATGATGTTAGGTGAATTGATAGTAAAGAAATAAAGTACCAAGAAACTACAAGTTACGCTATAATGTCCACTAACACCACCAGTTACCAAACAATCAGCTCATGAGATAACATCGCACGACATTGACCGACGGTACTGACGTTCTATAACTAACTGTCTAACAGCTCAAGCACATCTTGGATACGCACTCTAACAGCCTCCCAGGTTGGAAGGTTCTAAGTTATAGAAGTAACATGAGGCGGGGAAGGTGAGCGCAACCAAGACAAGCACAAGCTGAAAGTCTCAGCTGTGAAGGACGTTGGCGGATGTTCATGCATGTCGATGACGATACTGGCAGGACCACGGGACAACACGGTCAAACCCCGGTTCGAGGACGCAAGGAACATTCCGCACAACTTGTGTGGCGCAAAGATGCGAAGATCAATATAATTAAAAAAGGGGAAGCTATGCGAACAAGAATCATGCAAAACCGAATGCCTCATGAAAACAGCGCTGTACTTCGACTATGTCTTGCCAGTATCGCCATTGACATATATCAACATCCGCCAACGCCCTTCTCAGTTGAGACTTTCAGCTCGTGCTTGTCTTGATTGCGCTCACCTTCCCCTCCTCATGTTATTTCTGTAACTTAAAACCTTCCAAATTGGAAGGCTGTTGGAGTGAGCTTCCAAGATGTGCTTGAGCTGCTAGCCAGTTTGTTGTAAAACGTCAGTACCGTCGGTTAGTGTCGTGCAATGTTATCGCATGAGCTGATTATTTAGTAACTGGTGGTGTTAGTGGACATTATGGCGTAACTTGTAGTCTCTTGGTCCTTTTTTCTTTACTATAAAGCATCCTTGGGTCTCCATTCGGGTCCATTCCGTCATTGGAAACACAAGAGGATTATAGGAAACCACGACCGAAGGAACTCAACTACCAACCCACCCCCTTATGCAGGATAGCTGCCGATGCAAGGATTGCATTCGTTTGCAATTCTAACAAAGAGCAGTGGCTTGTTTATACATGTAACCGGGGATGTGTATTTTTAAATAATTGTACACCTTCGGTTTGACAGCAATGTTCTACAACTGAGTTGTTAGCCTCGTGATCGCAGACTTCATTTCCTTCAGCCGCTGGTACAAATGATTCCAGTGAGAAGAAACGGGGGAACCCCCAAACAGTCATAATTTTTATATTATTTTGTGCAGTTTGAAAAGCAAATCAAATTGGTGATGGTCAGAAATCTAATTATAGCCTCATCTTTACAAATGTTTTAAGTTACAGTGTTGATTCTTCTTGTTGGGATTTACCGCAGAATGAAAGGCTGAACGAAGTCCAGGAAAATCAAGAAGGTAAAATGCAATCATTCATTAGTTGAAACTAGGTGATATTAAATAGAATATTGAAATTTACATGGCAAATATTTATACAGCTAGTGACAAAGGCCCTACCACTGCACCTGTATGATTCCCATGAAACTCTAATATATCACTGGATTGCCCAAATAAAGCAGACGCAGTGACATAATGCCTCCTAACTTGCTGGTGACAACAGAATACTGCAAATGATAATTCTTCTCCAATTTGATAGTTACCATATTCGTCCTAAAAAGAGATGCGTCGGCGTGACACATGCCTGTCACAGTGTGGAAAACACTAATAGTGCGAAATATCAAATCTCGACACTGTCTACCCGAGCGCAACACTGCCATTTCTTCGCCTTCTCGTGGGGTGGCGGTACGTAGGTAGGTAGTTAGGTACTTCGGAAAGGCAGCGGTGGGGGGGGGGGGGTTTGGGGCTGGAGCACTGTAACTATCAACTTGACCGACATACTTTCATTCCGCGATTTTCCATGCCAAGACGAGGCATTATTGGAGGTAGGTGAGAGAGAAGACCTTTCCAAGAGGCATTAGAGCCCAAACGCGATCGAGTTGAGTGGAAAGACGACGTTTGAATTTCAACGAATGAGCCCTGATCATGTCATGAGTGAGTAGCTAGCAGGCGCGATGCAGCGAAGTTGTACCAAGTTCATTTTGGAGAATTTTCAATTGTAGAGGAGGTTATTGGCCATGTTCTCCGAACGTCGTTAGATATCCCGTGTTCTGTTCCCCTCCAGTGATCCGGACTTTATCTCAAAAATGTTATTGATATGTAAAATGGGTCTCAAGAGGTATTCATGACGTGTTGGTATTGCAGAATGTAGAATTTGCGACACTGTGATACCACTACTTCAAAGAGGTAGTGAGTTGAAGATGGAGTGCAAGGTTGATAGCTGCTGTTATAATTATGGAGAGTAAAGCTGCTTAGGGCGGCAACGAGGATCATTTGTATTACCTGTGCACCCAGGAATCAAAGTACATAACCCTTTGTGCTCACTCGACACAAATAGGGCTTAGAGACAAAATATTCGCGGTTCCCGTTAGACTTGGCTGGATGCCTTGCGCTTCCAAGTAGGACTTGAAACTGGTACCCTCTGAGTTTCATCCACGGTCTCAGACCATCCCACTATGCCTGCAAGACTGCTGATATTGCAAACGCTGTTTTACAATTCAACAAGAGGTTGGAAGTTTTGCTTTGATCCGTCATTTGTAGCTTTATGGATAGGCACGTATATGAATTCTCCACATAATCTTAATCCTGCCCAAGCTCGCGGTAACACCGAGACCACAGATCGGCATGTTTATTTTTGGCTTGTCTCACCACACAGATTCCTTCTCGGAGCCCCTACTCTTCACATTGTTGTGTTGTCATGCTACTTCTCTCCTCTCTTCTTACCAGTAGGTTGTGTCTTCAGAAAAAAAAATACTGGACTTTGTTGGTACCTTTTTCCGATAATGACCTTGTTAACTATTCTGATTTCGAATTCTGCAGTATCATTTCTCTGCCAGAGAACCGACTCTGGTCCGTCAGCTGTATTCAATGGCAGAACACCGACAACAAGATTCACTGCATACTGTGATCGAGAGACTGATGGAGGTGGCTGGATTGTGTTTCAGAGAAGACAAGATGGCTCAGTGGACTTTTACCGTGACTGGAATGCATACAAACGAGGATTCGGATCAGCGTCTGGAGAGTTCTGGCTGGGTCTAGATACACTACACTATCTGACGTCACAAGCTGGTAGTACTTATGAATTGCGTATTGATATGGTGTTCAAGACAACTGGAGAGAAGCATTATGCCAAGTGGTCTACATTCCGTGTTGAAGGGGAAGCTAACAATTACAGACTACATGTTTCAGGATTCTCAAGCCCTACCTTGGTGGACAGCATGAGAGACCACAATGGACAACAGTTCAGTACTCGAGATCGTGACCATGACTCGCACAGTAGTGACTGTTCCAATAGGTTCAAGGGTGGTTGGTGGTATAACCAGTGTCACCTAGTCAATGTCAATGGATTGTATGGACGTAGTGATGGATACGCAACTGGTGTAGTGTACTATCAAGGCGGGTCCAAGAGTTTGAAGTTTGTGGAAATGAAGCTAAGAAAGCGTGGATAAAACCCAATGCACTACTAGATTCACTACACACACTGTGCTCATTTGCATCCAAATGCAAAATTCTGCACTTTTTTTGAACGTTCACTGGTTTCCTCTTTTCATGATGGCTTTTGGTTATCCTTGGATATTATGTGATGCCTCTTTCGACCCATACATTTCTTTTGCAGGAGAGTCAACCTGCCATTCGATTCTTAATCACCGGGTTCCAAAAAGCCAGTAATGCTTTTGTTTAACATAATATTACTACGCACATGCACTAAGGGAGTGTTGACCATTTCAGGGGATTGCGCGCATCTTCATAACCCGCTCCTCCGCCACCATACAACACATTGATCTCCTAGGAGTGCTTTTGTTTCGTACTTCTTATCAGCGAGCCATCGTGATTACAAGAATACAATCATTCTTTCTGATATACAGTACTTTCCCTGTCTACTACAATCACCCGCATTCTCTCACTAGCCACCTGAACATTAACCATCTAGCGCTATACACTTTACCAGCTGTTTTCTATGTTGTTTTACGTCACTAATTGCTTAAACCAGACACACTGTTTTTGTTACTCACGAGCAAAAGCTGAAGTTCAATTGAGGGGTAGTCACACTATCCAAAATGTCTGTGACATGCATAGTACGTAAGAACGGTTTCATGGCGTCTTTATATCTTTACTTTGAATTATTTGCGGCTCCTACATCAGGTAAAGTTCCGTATTAGTTCCGTATTACTTCCGTATTAGCCAGGCAGGGATACTACACTTAGTACCCACCCAGCGGAATGTGTAATTGTGAAAATTGAAAGGGAAAATAAAGTAGCTAACAACTGTTTTATGGTACCTCTATATCTTTTACTTTGAATTATTTGCGGCTCCCACTTTTATTACTTAAAAGACATAACGGTAAGATAGAGCCTACTGTAGAGAAATTGAGTGGTTTAGTAACAGATCTACTGCGTTGCTAGAACTGGGGTGAGAGCAGGGACGGAAATGTGTAGCCTTTGCTGATGGGGTACCATTACCCTCATGTGACCAAGGAAAAGATTTCAAGACAGAGTATTTTCCCAGAGGTGTATTGCATCTCATGCATGTGTACCACCATTGCACTACTACTGAAGTGCTCGCAGTCCACTGTTCTATGGACTTAAAGCCTGTGCTATTGCTTACGTTCCCTGCCTCGCTCTTCCTTATGTTTAGACTACCAATCTCGGACCGCTAGATCTTACATACCGCGAAACTCGGAATTGCAACATATCTTCATACATACCCTCTTCCGGCTACGTTCAAAGCTCTGCCAGACAAGGGCATCGCACATACTCCAGGCAGTGGAGTACTCTACCTTAAGCAAACTTTTGAGCTCAGATAGTGATATCTTTTTCTGCAGAAACTGGCTAAAGTGCGTTTAGAATTGTTATAAAGATGTCTAGAATCTCTTTTGCATTCAGCTGAATGAAGAATGGTCCTCGAAGGATCATGACGTTTTCATCAGACTTTTTCTGTCAGGTGGTGTAACACCTGATGATATCAAGCAGGTGGATCTGAGTGGAAGGCGCGGATTCTGTAGAGTTTCGTTTTCCTGCACTGCCGTTAGGGACGAGGTGTTGTCCAGAGGGTTAAAATTGGAAGGAAAACAGTTAGTATTAGTAGTTGGTGATGGAGCAGCTGAGTCCCTGCATATATTTGGTGTGGAGGATGACACCCCACTGCCGGTCATTACGTCCGCGATGGAGAAATTCGGATCCATCATTGGTGTTCCGAAGCGGAAAACAAAGGTTGTGGAAGGCTGCACCTTCACAACTGCTGCTACTATATTCGTGAACCTATTGTAATGGTAGTCGAGTGGAGGCGCGGTGCAATCAACACCAGTTAGCTTTTATAATTATTCTCTCAGGTACACACCTGGGATATATTGTAAGCAAGTAAAAGAAGAAGCGGGAAATAAATAGAGTTTTCTCTCCGGTGCACGCCTGGAGGTTGACTACTTCTTCTTCGAGTTAGGTTTGTCGTTGCTATAAAATCTAATAAAAACAGAAATGCGCAGCAGCTTTTATGCAACAGACGCCGTACGCTTACATACGGAGATACACTAAAATACACATGAGGTAAAGTTCCGTATTACTTCCGTATTACTTCCGTATTAGCCAGGCAGGGATACTTCACTTAGTACCCACCCAGCGGAATGTGTAATTGTGAAAATTGAAAGGGAAACTAAAGTACTTAAACAACTGTTTCATGGTACCTCTACATCTTTTACTTTGAATTATCTGTGGCTAAGAAAGGGTTTGCTCCCCACACCGGAGCTCGCGCTATTCCGCCGACTTTACTTGACACTTGACTGACTCACGACTGCCATCCAGAGCACACGAGAAGTCCATCGAACCTTCGACTCGGCAAACCTGCAAGAAAGCACCACTCCCTGCTCAATACACAGTGTTTCGGGGAATTCACCCCTCATCAGTTGAGCTTGAGTAGGCTGAGGAAGATTGTGCCTGAAGAGCACCACTTATATAGTGCTCTCCAGGTACAAACATCACCAGGGATACAAACTTACAGAGACGCTCCGCTTCCAGCGCGATAAACACCTCGTGAGCACCAGATAGCAGCGTGAGTCAGTGTCGCTCCTGGACGGTGAGACCAGACGTTGAGGACCCTCGGTCATTCGCAACGCTGTCACCTCCAAACCAACTAGTCGCAAGCCCGCGCTGGGCACAACAGTACGAAGTAGTGGTTGCGACTTCGGCGATGATTTGTAAGAAAGGGTTTGCTCCCCACACCGGAGCTCGCGCTATTCCGCCGACTTTACTTGACACTTGACTGACTCACGACTGCCATCCAGAGCACACGAGAAGTCCATCGAACCTTCGACTCGGCAAACCTGCAAGAAAGCACCACTCCCTGCTCAATACACAGTGTTTCGGGGAATTCACCCCTCATCAGTTGAGCTTGAGTAGGCTGAGGAAGATTGTGCCTGTGGCTCCTACTTTTATATACTTAAAAGACACAACGGTAAGATAGAGTCTACTGTAGAGAAAATGAGTGGTTTAGAAACATGTCAATTGATTTGCCAAAGCAGCGGTGGGAGCAGGGCCGCAAAAATGTAGTCTATCCTACCGAGGTTACATGCCTATCATGTGTACAAGGAAAAAATTAGAAGGCAGTCCGAGTCTTCTCAGCGATGCATTGCATTTCATGCATGTATAGCCACTTTCAATGGGGTGGCCATAGAGGAAGTGGAGGAGCTGAAGTTGCTCGGAGTGCTCTTTGATCGGAGCCTCTCCTTTCGCTCCCACATTCGACGGGTTGCAGTCCGTGGTCACCAACGTCTTGGCTTCATGAGGAAGGCCCTGCCCATTCTCGACAGCAAGGCCAAGTATGCAGTGTATCGCGGCTTCGTCCGCCCAGTGCTTGAGTACTGCCCGCTTTCATGGTTGGGTGCGTCCCAGTCTACCCTGAACCAGCTGGACCGGGTACAGCACCGAGCCCTAAAGCTCATCGGCCCAGGGTCATACCTCCCAAGCCTCACTGTTCGGCGTCAAGTCGCAGCACTCACATTCCTGTACAAGCTGCATTGGATCGACGGTCCCCCAATCCTGACCACCATGACACCACCGAGGGCAGTTGCAAACCAGCACCGGCGCTCCACTCGCCACCAGCAAAAGAACCAGCACCAGCACCAACTAGCACCGACACTGCCCGCCGGAGCCCGTAATAGTGCTCTCCGATCATTCCCCCATGCCACGATCCAAGACTGGAATCGTCTCCCATCTGCCCTGCTACGCAACCTTCCCACGCAGAAGGGAATGCAGGCATTCATAGAAGGCGCCTACAAGTCCCTCCGCAGCCGAGACTGGCGTTCAGCCACAGATGCCCTCTGAACACTCCCTGAACACCCTCTCTGCTTGCACCCTGGCTCCCCCCTTTTTTATTTATTTTTATTTTTTATTATTTTATTTATTTTTTATTTTTATTTTTTATTTTCTTCCTCTATCACATGTATCATCTTTCCGTTTTTCCTTCCTCTATATAAATGTACCCCCCCCTCCCCCTGTGCCTACTCCTCCCCAGTTTTTGGTGCTCTGAAGTGTCGCTGAAGCCGAGACCTCAGGTCGGCGGAGATGCTCAGTTTTCACCACCACAGTTGCGTCTGCAACCACCTCTACCATGCAGTATTCTGTTCTCGAGGTTCGTGGTTTCTCGTAAAAAAAAAATATATATATATATATATACTGACTTGTCAGTTTGAGCACTCTGGCAAGGTACGTTCGGGCCTGATTGGAAATTTTTATTTCCATTGCTATCAGGTTCGGCCTCATTTCCTCTGTGCTGCGCTGATGAGTTCAAAAAGAACGAAACAGCTTGCTGCGGACAGCAAGCTGTTTCGTTCTTTTTGAACTCATCAGCGCAGCACAGAGAAAATGAGGCCGAACCTGATAGCAATGGAAATAAAAATTTCCAATCAGGCCCGAACGTGCCTTGCCAGAGTGCTCAAACTGACAAGTCAGTGAGCATATATATATATATATGCAACAACAAGGTTGTAAGTTTCATAACACTAAAAGCTTTTCACCCATTTTCATCAGTAGGTACATGGGAATGAGCAAGAACGAAAACGAAGCCAGAATTTATACTGGGGGTAGAGAATCAGCAAGAATATTCTTACGCGCCTCAAGTTCACACTACACTACCATAAGAAGAGCTGTGTCGACAAAAGAAGCACATCAAGGTGCTGCGGCTGTTCAAGCTGCAACCGGACTGACAACTTTATCACGTGTTTGTTCTGGTACTGCATTCCCTTCATGTGTTGTTTCCCGCATTTTTCCACTGCTCCATACATTCTTATGGTAGTGTAGTGTGAACTTGAGGCGCGTAAGAATATTCTTGCTGATTCTCTACCCCCAGTATAAATTCTGGCTTCGTTTTCGTTCTTGCTCATTCCCATGTACCTACTGATGAAAATGGGTGAAAAGCTTTTAGTGTTATGAAACTTACAACCTTGTTGTTGTGTGTATATAAATTTTGTTCGCCTACCTCTCTATTTAAATATATATATGCATATATATATGCTTTATGCAGAGCTCACTGACTTGTCAGTTTGAGCACTCTGGCAAGGTACGTTCGGGCCTGATTGGAAATTTTTATTTCCATTGCTATCAGGTTCGGCCTCATTTCCTCTGTGCTGCGCTGACGAGTCCACAAAGGACGAAACAGTTCTGTCCGCAGATTGAGTATGCATATATATATATATATATGCTCACTGACTTGTCAGTTTGAGCACTCTGGCAAGGCACGTTCGGGCCTGATTGGAAATGCATATATATATGGAAACAGCATGCTGTCCGCAGATTGAGTATATGCATATATATATATATATATATGCATATATGCATGAGTATATATATATATATACCACCATTGCACCACTACTGAAGATTGGAGCATTGTGGCGGTCCCGCAGATGTCTGAGCCTCAGTAGTCGCATCCAGTATGTGAGGTCAGTCATCATGCCTGACCTCCTATATGCGTCTAACGCCTTCTCTTCCTCCCTCAAGGTTTCGCAGCTTGATCGCCTTCAGGTCCTGCAGAACCGAGCGGCGAGAGCGGTATACGGTTTGCCGCCTCACACCTCGGCTCAGCCTCTGCTCGAACGGA